CTTTCTGAACATGACCCATACTTGTCGCGCCAAGATGGTACGTGTCATTGCCAAAACCCTTAACATTTACTTGGCTTTTTGAAAGACAGTACGGTTTGCCCAGTAAAAGAGGCATCATCAACTATTTAATAAGTTAAATCACGAACAAAGTGTAAATGCAATAATATCTTTAAATGATCAAGAAAACAGCAGATGGTTGATTATAAGTGACAGTTTGCAGCGTCTCCCTTTTTTTTAGAAAACGTAATCTGTTCTAAAACGCTTGACGTGGCATACCGCACGTATCAAAACCTCAGTCAACATGGTCAAGAAAACTCAGCTCTTAGTTACATTCCAGGTTTGGCCAGCATGGCTGCCCTTAAACAGGGAATACAAAGTTTAGAAACAGACTGTAAACAATCGTTGCCATTGCAATCAGTAAATACATCAAATCTGGCGGAATATGTATGAAACTGCTTTTGAAAGGATTGCGCTCAAAAGACATTTGATAATCTGAACTATTTTTGCAGACAGGGAGTTTCGGACTGCACTTTGGGACAAAGCGAAAATCCATTTCTATTAAATTTACATTGTATATGAAATCAGTCAAAATAAAGGCAAAAAGTATCATTTTTAGCTCTCTTTAGTTTGCATGTAGTGATGAAATACTTTTAGTACATTAAAAGTCACCGGTCTTGCTTTTTGTTGTTCTTATTGTTTATTTATGCTTTAATTAAGTTAGCTATAAGCTAACAATATAATAAAGTACACGCCCGTACCTGTTGTAATACCGTACGGCGTTAAAAGCAAAAGAAAATGTTGTTTTTGTAATATGCAGCATGTAGCGCCTTTATTACCCAATCAGCTTGTTTTTACTTGGTAAGAAGATTTAGGATATTTGGATCCTTGATTTGTTAAACGCGAGCGCATAAAACAAAACCCCCACCTGTCGACAGGCCATACCTCTAGATTAAGCAGCAGGATGGACCTCAGGAAATTTACCGTTTTGCCTTTCTCCTGAACCTGGGGATTCTCGCTACAACTGTAGAAGGTACACAGCTCTTCTTTTCATCCTAGGCCATTGCAATCTACATGTGTAGGTTATTATACCTGACAAAATGTTACTTTTTTTCTAGTAGCAATTGTTTTAAAATTCTTAAACTTCAATCTGTTGAAACCCAATTCAACTCGGTCGAAGACTTTTATTTCATTTACATTTTTTTTTAGAGAATATACTTGTTCTAGATCTCAACTAAAGCAAGAATGTCTGGAGGTTAGATCATTTGAATTCATCATAGTGATTTGTTTACAAATGTGGGGATGTGGGGACACAACCGCCACTCCATCTCGCTTTTAAGTAACTAAATTAGTGCTCGCGGAGCTGACGAATTGTTAAGTCGATTCGATGTATTTATCATCTCGTTATTTGCGATCCTCTACATGCAATGTTCTCAAGAAAATGACTATATTTTAAAGCTCTCGGTCGATTTATTTGTTTGCCGCAACTCTGTCAAAATATCTACATATAGAACAGTCAGCTCTGTAGTCTGGTTACCACTCGGATCGAAGAAACACGAAAAAAAAGGGATAAACATTTATTCGATGTTTCATATCCTTACATGACTTGGCAGTTTTAAGATTTCAAAACCTAACATTTTGCCAGTGAGGTGAGGACTTTGGAAAACCTGTCCTTAAGACTCCACACCCACATTCTGACGCAATGCGGAAGTTTTAATATATTTCAAACTTTTGAAGGAATAGTAATGATTTCGGTCAGTTCAGCGACCCGCATTTAACAGAAAACCTTAAACAAGTTTTATATTTTTGATTTTTATTTTTCCGAGTCAGTCATTCCCATGATTCCCGTACTTCTCGGTACCGATCTTCAGATTTCCTACTTCGTAGAGTTCTGTTTTAATCCAATCAACGATAACTGTCATTGCCCCTTACCCTTTTGGTGAAAGGAACCGAGATCACCTGATAATGTTTTGCACGTGTAACGTGACCAGAATCAAGACATTTAGATTTGCTTTCAAGTGGAATAACTGAAAATAAACAAAAAAGTAGCTAGAGGAGTCGAAATGAGACTTGAAGCAATTCTAAAGAGAATTGCCAAGCAATTTGAGTTTGCCAGTAGGATGGACGGAGTAGAGTGAAACATTGAAGCTTGATGACAACAACAAACCAAAACAAAGACAACCTCAATAGGATGGTATCTAAGTGTGCATTTTTTTTTTTTGTTTAATTTGATATTGCTTTCCTAAAACTATTTGTCGCCAAATGTCTCAGCGTGCGTCTATATCGAGCTGGCCAGATATCTGGCCAGATATACACCTCGCCAACTTATCCATTACCATTTTATGATTAAGAGCATTTTGGGTATTTTAAATGTAAACTATCTGAAGTATATATCGTAAAATTCGTCTTCCTGAATTTTCTTCACATAACGACAATCAAACATTCTATGATACAAATGAAAAGCGTTCTTTTAGCGCATTTTTCGGTCCTGTGTAACTCGACGGTAGACTGAGTCGTTTATTGTTTTTTTTTTTGTATTTAAATAGAACTAGGCCAAGTTACGTTTTTACCGCGCTATTTATATGAAAAATTCACAAAATCCTTGACAAAAAAAAATGGCTTATAATTCACAAAAATAAATAAAGAGGAACCGAACAGTTCCATCTTAACATTATATTTCGCAAGGAATTAATTTCCACTCCTAAAACACAGCCGCTCTGAGACACGCGCCTCGCCTCTCCTTAATTTCAAGCCACACTTTACTCATTTTCAGGTATTTCCTACCAAGTTGAAAAACTAAACGCATCAGAGACACGTCAAGGATGGAATTGCAACAGCGGATGTGAGGCGCCACAACATTGTACACTACCACGCTGCACCAATGTGGTATTTCCGCAAACGTTTAGTGGATCTGGAACCGTAAGTAAACCCTAAGCAATTACAACTTATAGTCTAATCTTCAGGGTTCAGGGTAACTTTCTTTTGTAAGTGAACCACATTAAGCTTCTTTAAAAATCTAATGTTGTTCACAAATTTTGATTTGCCAAAGTACTTGTGGTTTTATGATACCTTGACGTCAGCGAATTTGGTGCGCATAGGTATACTTAAGTGCTTCTAATCTCTGGGATGTGTTTTTGAACAAAACAAAACAGAACAAAACAAATACAAAAAGCCGGAGGATTCTGACGATGAATATAGAAGGTCTCAATTCCATGAAATGGGAATGTGGGGGGGGCTAAGGTGTTAAAGTGTGTGGGGAGGGAAGGGGGCGATTGGGGTGGATTAGCTAGACTCTCTTTTTCTTCAGATTAATTTTAGTGAGTGGAGTAAACGCGCGCGGAAGCGTCGAGCAGACGCGAGAAACAAGGGAGGCATTCTCGCGCCTTCAGTCACGCGCAAGGTCACGCGTGTCTCGCGCGTTTCGCTCGACGGATTGGGAAAAAAGAGAGACTGCTCATAGTCTAGGGTGGAGTTGTCGCCTGTTAAATTTTCACGGATGCTTGTCTTTACCTAACGTGTTTCAGGTTCGAGTTTTTGTGTCATTTAGCCATGAAGATCAGTCTTCAGTTCTTCATTCGCCTTCCGCTGTGTGGGCAGAGTCTGTTAGTACAGCTGGATTTCAGTTATGCTCGCGTTCAACAGGTTCTACAAATGACACTGGAATTATCAACTGGGTAGCGTTTCAGGACAAACCCATGTTAACGCATGGAAGCGTTACTTTTAGCGGAATATGGACAACAGAAACAAAGTGTGAGAAGGTGGCCTTTTCTCAGGTTAGATAACAATAATTGGTAACGAGTATGCAATTTTGTTATAAAGGTGTAAAACGTAATTAAATAGTAGAAACAAATGAAATAATGTCAGAAAGTAGTTCTAAAACAAATGATCACTAATTAATATCCGGAATTTGCTCTTCATAGCAGAGTCCACTGCTAAAAGTCTTTTTAAGCTTTCTCTCGGGCTTAGTTTCAAACTTTTCCTTCCCTCGCCTCAAGATAAGCCATTTTCACGTTTTACTTTGGAGGTAGTGATTGAATAATGCGTGACCGTTTTGAATGTATTGATGTGTTAAAGGGAATTTGGAAAATAGAAGTCTATTTATTCAATGATATTAAATTTTTAGCATTAAACTTAACAAAGTTGGCCGAAAAGAAGTATTGTTGTTTGTAACTTTATTTAAGTAATGGGCCAAATAAGATGCATTCACCAACATTTTCAACACTTCGTAGAAAGAGGTGAAAGAGGGGTAGAAAGTTGAGTTAATGTGAATAGACAAGTAGATTTGATTAATCTGCTCCCGTTAGCCTTTGATAAATCCTTAATTTCATTTAAGTGCCGCTAAGTACTTCATGGATACGTTCCTGCTGATTTATCTTTCGAGAAGCTTGTTTATTTTCAGTCAATAGTTTTTGATATATCTAACATCTTTTTGCAGAGCTTTGCTTCCAAGCCTCGTGTATTTGTCTCTGTTAAGTACACTCGCAGCACAAAGCCAAATGATGCTATGTACTTATGGTTAGAGAACGTCAATTCTGGAGGATTTGAAGTGTGCTTAAGGGAATTCTTGCCCTTTGATGGAAAACACCAAGATGCAGTTGTGGTAAGTGAAGAAAAACGCTCGAGTAAACTATAGTATTGATAAAAAAAACTTGACTTTGCCACACTTCGGCAGCCCGGACAACCAATTGCCCAGAACGTTTTTGACGCAGTTAAGGTCAGTGTCTTGTCTCACGTGTTTCATGCAGTCATTTCTTGTTAAAGAAAATGTCGTTCGAAGCCTAACGCAACTCGTCTTGTAAAGAAAAGAGTAGCAAATTAAACATCATTTTCTTGTTCGCAGGACTGGTTTGCATTCACTGGAAATGGGAGTCAACTTAATTTCACAATAACTGGAGAAGAAATCTTTCCAAACGGTGGAAATCCATCGGCCAAAAACAACTACGGCTTCTGTCAGGTGAAAACTTTAGTTCTAACAAGAACATTAATATATTTAACAAGCCAAAGAACATTTTCAGTGGACACTAAAGAAAACTTAATAACGTAAACCCGAGCTTACCAGGCCATGGTAATCCACATTGTATCCAAAATGGCAATTCCCAGATGAGCGCTACATGTTTATCTCGCGATTTTGATGTGCGCATATTTTATATTTCGAATCACTTCAATTTTGCGTTGTTGACAGTGGGCGAATATTAGAAGTTGGGACTTTACAGAAGATGGGCAAAATAGAGGGAGACGTGAGCACGTTCAGATCCATTTACTAACTTACATGACTTTTTTTACCTATTTACAGGAAGTGCCTTTCAATACGACCTTTTACAAATCGCCAATTGTGATTCTTTCCGTAAATCATGAGTATAGCCTTAAGGTCAAGGGAAGTCGTCCTCCAGAAAATAATATAATATCAGCCTGGCTAGAGGTAGGTTTGCTTTTTTATTCTAACCTGAGAAAACAGCCCGCCCGACATTTCGCGCGACGCCACCACTAGTTTTCCAACAAAATGAGGAAAACCCCGAAAACCCCGTTTCACGACGCAATTACTGGCTTTCCCGAGAAAAGACGCCTGTGGAAGAGTGCAGAAATTCCATATTGATGACGTGTACTTCCCAGATCAAGATAGTGTTTCTGATTGGTCATGCTGCAAAATAAATTTTCTTTAACCAATCAAAAGCACTGCATCCCAGTGACACATCATCAGTACGCAATTTCTGCGCTCGTTACTCAGACGTCTTTTTCCGGGGTTATATTCTTAATGGTCACTTGAGGTTAATGATATGAGCAGGGATTTTTTCAGTGCTTTACTAATTATTCTATTCAATTGTTTGCTTGAACTCTCACGACACCTTTGAGATCCAAAAGCCCATATCCCTTGTTCAATCATGGGGAGAGAAGAAATCTGTTTATTCTAGTAAATTTGTAAAAGGACTGTGAAAACTGTGAAAAAGCAATAAGAAAACAATGATTTGGATCTGATCCATGAATTTCATGACTTAAAGGTATCGTCGTAGAAATCAAGAAGAAATTATGGATTTTCTAGTAACTGATGAGTGCTATCACATTTTGCTGTAGGAAGTTGGATTAGAATCTATGAAGGTCTGCGTTAAAGACCTCAGTGGATTAGGATCGAGTCATGATCCCTTGATTGTCAGCTACGCTGTTACTGGAGGTTGTTTATAATTTTCCTATTGTAATGATCACTATTTCTAGCAAGAACTATTGTTATTTTTATTATCACTATTACTATTATTTTTATTGATATCTTTTAGAAGTTCTTATATGTAGGAATAAATTTCATGATATAATTAAAGGAACACTGGAGTACAAACACTGATATACCTTATTCATGTTACACTCTATCTTTGCGCGAACTTTAAGATTGATCATTGATGGGATAAGAGCAATTAGAGGGCACACAAGTAATAAAATTGCCAGTACTAGTAATCGAGTAATCGCGGTCGGGTTTGTTTATTCCCTCAAAAGTAAGACGACGATTTTAGTCATGCAAAATGCAAAATGTAAACTTTGACAAGTTTTACATCACAATTCCTTGCTGTGAAGATTTCTACTGTCGCGTACTGTATTCAAAATCACTTCCACCCGTATTTTGCGATTTTCGTTTTTAAGGTCAAAACGTCTTAATTTTCTATTGTGTAGATAAAACAAACTCGACTGCATTCTTGTATTTACTGATTTTATCTCTTGCTTGCCCCCTGAGACACAACGTAATATTGCTTTAATTTATTCCATCAGTCCTTAAGCGCGTGCAGAGATGGCGGGTATCGTTAATAAGGTCTACTAAGGATAAAAGGTTGAGGTACCTACAAGCAAACATGTTACTACTACTAAACAGTAACTTAGTTTTAATTGAAATATGAAAAATATATTAGACATTTATGTTTTTTTCCAAATGAACAACTACTCAATATTATGTTTCTTTTTTCTTGGTACAGACCTTAATCCTTGCCTTAATGTGCATTGCCCACGGTTTGGAGTCTGCAGGACCTACAGTGCGCATGATGCTCGGTGTGAGTGCGATGACCAATGCCCTTCATATAAAGACCCAGTGTGCACTGCAAACGGAACAACTTACGACAACCGATGCTGGCATAAGTTAAGCTATTGCAGAAGACTTGAAAATAATCAGGTTTATCACCCTGGAAGCTGTGAAGGTATAACGAAAAATAATTTCAACGATTTTTTTGGCTGTATATGCCACATAAAATAGTCTGGCAGTTAAGCTCTCGATCGCTTAGAATTATAGGTGTTGGCTCAAAATTGTATTGGCTTCTGGCTACGATGTTTATAACTTTTCGTTACTTTGAAGCTCGCTTTTAGCTCCTCACGCAGGCTAAACAACAATAGACAGCTGTAACAAGCTACTTCGTCTCTCTACTTTGGCAAACAAACATATAACATCCCAGACTATAGCCGATGTTTGATCTGTGTAAGATCTTTTATTCTCTTTTGTCTTGCAATTTAGTTTTTATCGCGTAAAATTAGATTACACAAATTTGCTCGGGGCAAATACCGTAAAATTCCGAAAATAAGCCCCGGGGCTTATATTTTTCAAAGGCCCTTTTTGAGGGGCTTAATTTTCTACGAAGGGAATTTTGAGTTTCAAAATCGATTGGGCTAGCCTTATAGTTGGAAGTAAATTTACCGTTTTTTCTTTGTTTTACTTTGCATTTGAGGGCAATTTTAAAAGTACAAGTCCCCGGGGGGCTTATATTTGGAGGGGCGATTTAACGGAAGGTATTTTTCGTTACCGGTTTGGGGGGCTTGTATTTGGAGGGGCTTATACATGGAGGGGCTTATTTTCGGAATTTTACGGTATGTAGCAAAAAAGTGCAAAAGAGTAGGAAATCAAAGACAATAGTAAATATTACATTTATATACCAGTTTACATGGAGTTGCATAATTGAAGCGCAATGCAGTATTTACTATCTTTGCCCTTGATTTCATCCTTTTGCTCTTTTTTTGCACCTTATTAGCACTGAGTGAATTTGCCGAAAATCAAATATTTCCCGCAGTGGTGCGCGCTCTCAGTATACTGGCATATGTTTATCTTGGGCACTGAAACCAGCATGCAATAACAAGCAGCCACTATACATTTCGTTGTTGAAAGGTAGCCGACATTAGAAGTTATAGCCTAGTTTTAGTTCCATTTCCACGCTTTTGTTATCACCACCCTTCACCACTTAGAGTTGCACTACAACGCAAGCTAGGGAAGCTACCTAAGCGATAATGCTTAAAGAGAACCGTGATGCTTCCTTTTAAAGTACTTAATTTATTACAAAACAGGTTTTCCAATTGTACGGGGCCGTGTAGATCTGCTACAGGTTCCAAAATGGTCAGATTCAAACTGTCAGACAGTCACATTTCCTCCATACCGGTTTTATCCGGATAAACAAGTTCATGTTCAAATAACGGTCAATCACATGAAGTTGAATGACTCTGTGACAGTCCACGACGCTGTTACTTCATGGACAGAAAGTATCAACACAAAAAACTTCACCGTCTGCGTCATGCAAACCGGAAGGAAAGAAGAAGGTGCAAATCCATTTGCCACCATTGATTGGGTGGCTTATCAAGGAGCACCACCCGAAGGATTGACGGGAACGGTTGAGTTGCAGAAATGGTGGTCTGGTACCAACTGTGCAGATGTAACCTTTCCTACGGTGAGATGGGAATGTACATATTAAATTAAATAATTGCTGCAAATTCAATTGAGGTCTCCATGACGAATGTTAGACTTTCATTCATGTGACATCTTTAATCCATGTCTTGAAAAAACAAAAAAAAAAAAAAAACAACAACAACACCAAAAACAGCAAAAAAAAAAAAAAAAACAAAACAAATAAATACTAAATAATTGGAAAATTGAGTCTTGTAACCCTTAGCCAAAACATGACAGATTTAATCACGACTTGTCTGCGTAACAAAAGAAGAAAAACATCAAGAGCGAAACTGTGAAGGAGAGACCTCCTTAACATCCATTTCAACAAAATGAAGCGCTAATCTGATACAAGGAAGCAGCTTATAACAACAACAACAACAACAACAACAACAAAAAACAAAACCAAAAAAAAAACCAAAATATTTGTTTATCTATTTGAATTAACTGAATGTGGAAAGACAAGAATTCACATCTTAAGTTAAAGAACATATTAAAACTTTCCTTGAGTTAGAAGAGTGAGACACAAAGTTAACAAAAAATAATCGATCATTACGAGGTAACTGGGGAGATGATTGCTAGATCCTCTAAAAAGTTGTGACCGAGTTAGCGACTTAGTTAACAAAACAACATTAGGTAACAAGTAAGAATGGGAACTTACTAGTTAGTTTCAAGTAATTTCGCAGCAATATTTAAGGTGGCCCGCCTCCCATTTATATGCGTGTTGGTTTTGTTTTTGATTTGCGTTTTTCAGAATGAAAGATTCAACCGATCACTAAGATTTTTGGCATCCTTCATAAATAATAATGGCACTTTAAGAAAATTTTATTTATTTTCTTGTAGGTATAAAAATCTTTGAGATATCGCCATATATTTAAAACCGCATTTTAACGAAAAAATGTAAATCACTTCGAAATCCCACGACAGATTTTTCCCTAACTTCAGCAAATAAGCCTCAGAGCTCTCCAGTTTTACATCTGCAAATTTGAAGGCAATCGTGACCGTAGAACTCGCTGCACAAAATGCTGGTCAAATTTAACCTTAAAATGCTACGCTAACACATCTGTGAAAGTTGACACACAAATAGAATAAAGCTTTAGGTAGGAATATCCTTTCAGATAGGAGATAGTCTGTCGGCAGTCTTCCTCTATTTGTGCGTCAACTTTCACAGATGTGTTAGCGTAGCATTTTAAGGTTAAATTTGACCAGCATTTTGTGCAGCGAGTTCTACGGTCACGATTGCCTTCAAACTTGCAGATGTAAAACTAGAGAGCTCTGAGACTTATTTGCTGAAGTTAGGGAAGTTAATTAAATTTTTTGGAAAAATGCGGTTTTAAATATATGGTGATATCTCAAAGATTTTTATACTTAAAAGAAAATAAATAACATTTTCTTAAAGTTCCATTATTATTTATTAAGGATGCCAAAAATCTTAGAAATCGGTTGAATCTTTCATTCCGAAAAACGCAAATCAAAAACATAACCAACACGCATATAAATGGGATCGGGCCACCTTAAAAAAAAGCTATTTCGATTGTTGTTATTGCTTTTTCTTCAGGGCAAGTTTGCCGAGGCGCCAATAGTCCTTGTGACGTCAGAGCACCTGAGGACTGGTAAAGAGTATGATGCTGCTCTCATTTGGATTGAAGACGTAACAAAGGACTCAGTTAAAGTCTGTCTTCGTGAAATGCAAAACTTTGACGGTAGACACCAAGATATCACTGTGGTACGTTCTTAGTCAGATTTTAAAAAACTGGAACGCGACTGTCCACAAAATTTGTGAGGAATGCTCGCCTGGTCTTGTTAAAAATAACAGCGTTAAGAGGAAAAAGCATTGCTAAGTAAAGATCGTCCGGGCGATCGCGAGTGATGATCAGTCAAACGAAAGGAAATGCAGAAAGAAAGAGATAAAAAGAAACGGAAATAATAATAATAATAATAATAATAATAATAATAATAATAATAATAATAATAATAATAATAATAAGAAGAAGAAGAAGAAGAAGAAGAAGAAGAAGAAATGAATTGAATAGCATTACGGGTGGTGAATTTTAAATGGCACACAAATTTGTCTTCCTTGTTCCCATGTCTCCCTTCACGCTCTTACGTGATTCGCCTGATGTCTTAAAAAATGTGGATTTGCATCCTTTTCTTGACTCTTTGCGCTCTTTGTTAGGTCACAACTTCATAGAGTTCAAAATGCTTAGATTCAAAGGGACCTAAAAATGCTGAGTTTATTTAAATTTTTTGTTGGTGTAATACGATTCTGTCACAAGATGGGTGGCATCACTCATGTTTTTACCTCTTTTCACAGAACTGGTTTGCCTTCTCCAAACTGCACAAGCCTCTTTTCACTGAGCATGGTGTCGTAAGTTTTCCAAATACGAACCCACCTTTGGATAAAATGAACAATGCTTATTGCCAGGTGAGAAAAGAATTCTTTGCAAAAGCACTGAGTAGCATGCTGTTCACAGCATTTCCCTCACAAATATATCGCTTACGTACATCACTGTTTTTATTTTCAAAACACTTTTGGACATATACACTTTACGCAATAGAGATCAAAGTGACTAGAAAAGTAAAGAAGCTGGTCCACTAAACAATACTTTAAGGCAAGAGTTCAAGAACTACAGACCGATAACGTCCCTCTTAACCATCGACAAAGTGTTTGAGCAACTGCTCTGTAAACTGGTGACTGTGAAACTCGACCACATCTTTTCTATCCTAAGCACTGCTTACAGAAAGGGACACAGCTTTGAGACCACTCTACTACGTCTGAATGAGGACTGGAAGCTAGCAATAGAGAGAAAAGAGCTAGTACGTATTCTATCGACTGATATGAGTAAAGCGTTTGACTCTCTCAGCCACTTGCCGACACTAACAAAGCTTGAAGCATACGGTTTTGAGTCCTCAGCGTTAGACCTCACGCGATCATTCTTTAACAACCGCCAAAATGTTCAACCCCCTGTTCTGGAACGTATTTCAGAATGACCTGCCCTGCTCCATAACTACCGCTAAACTTTCGATATATGTAGACGAGCACCTGTTGTACACCTCACGGACTAATTTTACAGCTGAAAGGGGAGCCTTAGAGCAGGAAGATCAACTTGCGGCGTCTTAGTATCGTGATAATTTTCTACTTGCAAATCCTGACAAATTCCAGGCGATGGAATAATAATTCAAGTGCGCTGTTGTTGAGTTTGTAAGAGGATAAGATCGGCTTTGTTTTCCTTGTTCTGTGCTGCGCCTTACACACTTAGCTTCGTTAAAAAGGAGACCGGATGATTGAGACCAAGTTGCAAGCTTACCAAGGTCTTTCTGGAGAGGAGAGGCATCCCCCAAAGTCTTTATCTCTCTGAATATTTTTGGGTCGTCAGCGAACATCAATACTCGACTGCTAGAACTGATGACTTCGTGAGGGTCGTTGACGTATAAGAGGAAGAGGGCTGGTCCAGAGGTAACAGGAATTTCCTCTGAAGTGGCGCCGAGTACCGTAACGCGTTGGCGTCGACCTGACAGTTAAGAGCAGAACCAGTTAAGCAGGTTGCCACCGAAACCGGCCTGGATTAGCTTATGGACGAAGCGCCTGTGACTGACTTTGACATATCAGGGTAGATGGTGTCAACCTGGCTGCCACTATCTAAATCAAATAAGTGAACCAATGTGGCCAAAAGCCTCAAGCAGGTTGGTGACGCACGTTGTTCCGGTACAAAAACCATGTTGTTTAGGTAAAATTACATGGTACAGGTACGTGGTCCTTGATGCTATTCAACACACAGCGCTCAAAGACCTTGGACACTATTGGGAGTAGAGAGATGAGGCGGTAATTTTCCACGTGGTCTTTTGCACCCTTTCTGTGGACAGGTACGACGTTAGCTAGTTTCCAGTCACTCAAAAGAGACCGTAGTTGCAGTGATTTGTTGAAGATCTAACATAAGGAAGGAGCAATCACTGAGGCAGTCTCTTTGGGCAATCTAGCAGGGATCTCGTCCGGCCCCGTGGCTTTACGGACTTCTAGTGCTTTGAGTGCAGCTAGAACCGTGGACTCAGAGAGTTAGATCGGATATAACAGTGTCCGAACGTATGCACGCTGTCTTCTCTACTGCGCTGTAGATAGTAAATACGGAGGCAAAAAACCTGTTAAAGAGGTCAGCTATTCCCGAAGGTTTATCAACACTTACTGTTGAAGGGTTTTGTGACTGGTCAGCGGAAGAGTCTGGAACGTTTACCATGGAGACATTGCCGGGGATGGGATGAGATTTATTGTTAAGCTTGAAATTTACCATAAGCGCTTGGGATTGAATCTAAAGCCATTGTCAATGGAGTCGTAAAAGTGATCACGGCTTTCACGAAGCAGTTTCTTGGCTTGCGCCCGCAGAGACTTAAACTTATCCCTCAGGCCGGCGTTCGGATGTGACTTAAGTTTTTGGCGAACTGAATTCTTTTTTCTTGATTAGTTTTAAAATGTTACTATTTATCCAAGGAACCGGGTTACGGCCTTTCAGTCTCTTCGATGGCACGAAGTCCTTGACAGCAGCTAGAAATAAGTTCTTCCTGCACCGCCAGTCATCATCTATATTGTTATGGCTCACAATAGAGGCAAGATTGATTGCCGAGAGATCTTCACGCAAATCTTCAAAATCGCCATTTGCGTAGTCGTAGACAAATTTGCGCGGGTGTGAGGACGCATTAACAAAAGCATTATACTCAAGCAGGACTACACAATGATCCGTAAAAACACCGGCTTTATCAGGCGACAACACCTAGGTCACTTTGGTGTGTTCTGGGGCACTTGTTATCACTAGATCAAGAATATTACTACCGCGAGTCGGTGAGTTGTTAATTTGCGTCAAGAAGTGGTCATGTAACGCCTCGATAAATGACAATTCGTTAGCACCTGAAGCGCTATCAACGGAGTCCAAGGAGATGTTCGGCAAGTTAATGTCACCACAGATTACCATATTTTGAAACTGATTGCAAACTTGATCTAGAAAGATGTTAAATAAATATACCCAACTAGGGTCTGAATCCGGAGGCCTGTAACAAAAATAGAATATAATCTTCTGATCAGATTTTAGAAAATAACTCTGACTGTTGTGACCTTTGCAGATCCTAATTTTATGATTTTAAGATTTTTAAAAATTTAATATGTATTATTATGAATTACTATGTATTTTAGATTAGTGTTCCCAATTAGAATTATTATAATTAGTATTATCATAGATTATTATAGATTATCATTATTATTATTATTATTATTATTATTATTATTATTATTATTATTATTATTATCATCATTAGTATGTAATTTTAGATAAGTGTCCTAGCTTTTAGTGATTAGGAAACAGTGTTAAACGTTTTACGTTTCTCTTCCATGGCAGTTCGTGTCATTCACGAGAGCATATAACTCGACTCCGACAGTTCTTGTCTCAGCCAATCACAGCACGATGGTATCTGGGAATTCAGCACCGATTCACAACGAAATTACAACTTGGATCGAGGTAAAATTTTCCGTAATTTGGGAGGATTGTGGGGATGTATCAAGGCAAACAAATTTCAAACCAACACTAGACGAAAGATATAACTGAACAGAGACACACGCTTGCTTGAGGCGATGTATAGGTCGATAATAGGTGTAGCGCAAAAATGTACCGAGTGAAGTTGAGATTGCTTATTGGCTTCCTTTTGACGTTAATTATCGAATGCGATTATGGTGTCGGTACAAAATAATATCTTTAAATTATAATATCTTTAAATTATAAGCAGGGGCCGAGCGCGGTAGTCTCGAACTTCAGATCTGATTGTACGGGTTTAAACGTTACTTTAGAGCTGTTTCCTTGGACACGAAACTTTGCTCCAATCATTTGGCTGCTTTCTTCATCAACAGGGATATTTAGCTCCGTCCTTCTGGGCCTCATAGCTCATTTGTGCCACTGCCTTGCCCCTTATTAGGGTAAAAAGGATATTTTGGATAAAATTTCGAACGTGCATTCACCGTATAAGTCTTTAATTTTTCATACCTTTGTTATTTCCAAAGCTTCTTTTGATTTTCTAGCGCTCTTTAATTACTTTCATCAAACCACAGTGTTAAGTTACGGCGAATCTTCGCATCTTTATATAATATAGAGTATTTACATACTAGAAGTTCTCATTGAGAAGGGAAGTGCTGCCGTTAGTTGCGAAGCAAATAGGACAAAGACAGTTTGTAGAACATATGAATTCTTTTTTATTAAAGTCAATAACTTAGACTTGCTGGCATTATGAAACACTCAGAGCGTAATATAAAAAATGAACCGATCACGATGACAAATATGCTTACATTCATATAACTCGCTAAGGTTTCAATACCATTTTGTAATTCATTTTAATAATTCACGAAATTCTAAAACAACAGCAGTACTGATAGGCTGTTTCTTCATCGAACAATCATCGTACACAGGATCGATGAGATGAGTTGCGAACAAATGACGTAAAGGCCAAAACTTGTTTATTCACAGGTCAGGTAGATGTACAGCACATGCCGTTCACTTATATAACTTACAATCCTGATTACCGAGATAACAATCTGTGTGACAAAAGAATACTCGCTATAACTAACCTTAAGGTATCAGCCACCCTTAAAATTGCCATTTTTCCATATTTGAGGTTTCAACGTTTTCAAATAGATATGCTTGAGAGCTTTCTTTCAAAAAAAAAAAAAATCAGAAGAAAATATTATTTCTGTCGAAAGATATCGGGGTAAAAGATTTTTTCTCGTTAATTATCTTAATTGATCGTTGACAAGATCTGTCATACCCGTGTCATATATCAATTAACTTGCTTGTGAACTAGTAACGTGATCCGAGTGTGTGCTTCGACACAACACGCGCGAATTGTCTTCGCGTTGTTTATAGCCTTTAGGGACCGTCCATTTAACTCTTGAGGTGAGGCCGACCATTTAACTCTTGCGCTGCTGTAAGAAAGAAAAAAAAAATGTTGCAAAGCTATTTCAGTTCCGGGGGTCTTTAAAAAATCGCAGCAAAACTGCAACCATTCTTTTCCCTTGCTCACTTTGAACTCTGGATTTGATGATGCTGCAAAATTATTGCTTCATATTTGCAATGCATTATTAGCGTATCACAAGCAGTATTATAAATGGAGGTAACTTTTTTTGATTAAAGAATCAAGTTTTAATAGACAAAGGAAGTTTTTTTTTCATTTTTAACAGAAACATTTTTATGTAATAATTTTCTATTTAAATAAATATAATATATTTTTTTAAGTTTTAGTAATGCACCTATCGATGTCTAGCCCCAATTGGGGGAGTGCAGGTATACCCAGGGGCTATTGACAATTGATTTCAAATATTTTTGGTCGTTAATTTCAAATTCCACACGCTCTGCCATTTCAAACCTTAATTCTTATTCAAAACATCCCATCCCTTGGACAAAGTTCACAGGTCAAATGCCCCACCTATTTCCGCACTCCCTCTGTTTGGGCAAGACATTGATAGGTGCATAAAAAGTAGCTGTATATTCCATGAATAAAAATTGCACTGCAAGATAAAAATTAACAGCAGCAATGAACATGGCTGAATGCTGCAACTGTATAGAAGTGGACTGAAAAAAGGCTGAGCAAAAATTATTAGAGCTATTTTTCAATTAGACCATGATCAACTAACTTCAATTTTGCTTTCACATTGGTTTTGGATATTTCAGTGTACTTTTAAATTGCAACTAATGATTCTAGCAGCAATTACCATGCTATGAGCATTTCTGAACTGCTTTTTGCTATTTTTGGCTATTTTTTTAATTAAGAAACTAAACACTTTCAGATCTGCCTGTGGTGCATCACTTTATTTTGACGTAATAAAATGAGTGTAAAGAATGACTTTCCGAAAAGATAGCTATACAATAATGATTTTGTATAGTTTACAACATTTTAAGGCTTTGCAGCTCCATATTAGAACTATTACTGCAATGACCACAATGTAAATGTAAATACATTTTGTATATGTAAACACATGACCCTTTTTTGAGTAAAAAAAAAATCCTGCAGAGAAATGAGGAGGAAAAAAAATATCCTGCAGAGCATTTAGAAGGGAAAAAAATATCCTGTCCACCAGTTTGCTAGAAAAAAAAAAAAATTCTTGCCGACCAGAAATCACCCACTCCCCCAAGAGTTAAATGGTCGGCCCCTTAGTATTCTCCGTGGATATTTAGCGTTTGCTTTGGTGAAAATGCCGCCAAAAAAAAAAGAAAAGGTCGTGTCCGTTTTCGTCATCGAAACCGAGAGCGAAAAAGAAATCGAAGAGCGAGTTTGACAAAGAATGGGCCGCAAAATTGGCAGAGAGCGACAAAGGCTCATTTTATCAGCAAGAGAAGTGGCTCGAGGAGTTGGATATTTAGAAAAGCGAAAATGCTGCAGTTGCTGAGAGTGCAAGCCGCTCCAAAATCCAGTTCAAAGAGCCAGATGAAGAAAACTAGCCAATTAAGCTCATCGACCCCATCTGCTGATGGAACGTGGAAAACAATAAGCGGTCGAGCTATCGTATCAAGCGAAAAGCTGCTTGAGAAACTGGACGAGTCTGTATCTTGTCGATTTTGCCAGGGAAGAGTCCAAGTCATGGAAAATGTAGCGACTAAGCATGGACTTGGTTCTACCTGGAGAATCCAGTGCGAGAATGAAAGCTGTCCGTCGCACAACACAAATTCTGTTTTTAATTCTTCCGAGAAGAGCAGAGCGTTTGAAATAAACCGGGCCTCAGTTCTTGGCCTTGAAGCAATCGGTGGTGGACATACGGCGGCTTCAAAGTTTTTTAGTTTCCTTGACCTGGCGCCGATCAACAAAAACGCCTGGGCGGATCATACAAAAAAGATCGAAGGAAACTTTTGCTCGAGAAAGAATTAAACCGTGCTTCTCGTGGTGTAAAAGAGTGGAAGTTTTCCAACGGAGAATTTAACTGTTCACTTGAAGATGTTGAAGAAAGTGCTGTGGACATTGGGGTGACGATCGATACCTCGTGGAGTGCGCGAGGATGGTCAGCTTCGGATGCTGTGATAGCCGCAATTTCTGTTGACACGGGAAAATTTTGTCTTTTGTCCACACGCGTTGTAATTGAACTGACTGGAAGCAAAATAATCATTTCCCGCTGCTTGCCGCGAAAGTTTGTTCCTGTTACATGTTACCTGTCAAAGTCCTATTGTTAGAGAAAATTGATATCAATCAGAACAAACATTTAGGTATTATAATCTCATTCCAGGTAGGATGCCGCCAAAAATGTATTTTCTATTTTATCTCCGAACACAAATTTTGCCGATCGACTCGTACGTTTTGAACTCCAAGTCGGCAGCCTTTCAATCAATTTGGCTAAAATTTGGCCAGAGTGATGCCATATATCTCTTCTACAAAACCGTGTCTTCGAATTTTAATACTCCTTTTCATTTTAAAGCTAGAGCTTTTTTTCCACAGGGAGTGTTGACTAATTACCTTCCCCAGCTTCATTTGCTAATAAAAGAAAAACAAACGCACTTGTCAAAAATCTGAGACACGGTTTTTTAGTGGAACGTGTTGAGAAGCGAATGCGGTGTTAATTGTTTTCTTCCGTTTATTTCCGGCGGGAGTGGAACATGATTTATAGAGACGTGTACTTTTACACAAAGCGTTCTAGTTTCGAAACACATTTAAGTAAATCGTTTTTGTTACTTCAAATCCATAATCTGGAATTATTAAGCTTTTATAAAATATATGGTTTATAGGGGTTTTTATAAAAACAACTAACGCTACAGCGATCCGCGCGCGGACGGTCCTGAAGGGTGGCTGATACCTTAGAACCTGAATAAAAAAAAAAAGAAAAAGAAAAAAATGTTTCGTACAATACGTCTTGAACTGTTCTTACCGTTTAGGCCGTTTAAAAAGACGGCAAGCATCCGATAAACCACGATTTCTGCACAGATCTTACATGAAAGCAAAACAAAATGGCGGGTTGCTCCTAAGAGAAAAACAGGCGCGGCAGCGAAGTAAACCACTGACTGCACCGCGCTGCAGTCACAGGTGACCATGGAACCATGGAACCATGGGACCATGGAACCATGGAACTATCGAACCAAAAATCTCAAATGGATCAAGAATATGGTCTGGTGCCGGCTGATGCCCTGCAGCAATTAAGAAGACGTAGGAGAACTTTTAAAAAATATTCTGGTATTCTCTTCCTGTTAATTCAGTCGTTTATGACTACAATTTTAGCTGTACTAAACTACGTTGAGTGCTTATTATTATTATTTTTTTTTTCAGAACATGAATACCTCTGGATTCAGAGCCTGTGTCAAGGAATTATACGCGAATAGATATGACCCCTTGTCCGTCGGTTATGCCGTTCTCACAGGTCTGTAATATTACTGAGTTAATTTATGAAGTAGTTTTTAGCAAATGAAAAATGAAACGTTATTTGTTACCGGATTCATCTGGAAATACTTTGGAAATGCCTAAACTAAAAACACAATGCAAGTTGATGGTTTTGCAAGTCATGGCGGAGTCAAGAGAGTGTACCTGTTGACACAAAAATATTATTGAAGTTCTTCCAAGTTGTAATGTTCCTACCCCTCGATGAATTTCACCGTTTAATTAAAAGTTTTCTTAAAGAATAAATAACGAGGATAAAAGAACTTGCTAGAAATTAAAAGCACCATGCTTAAAACAATCGTTTGAATTTTGTTTTTCTTTAAAATAGTACAATCTGTACATAAAAGTTCGATATATTTTATCTCTATGCGAGTGGTATATCCCTGTCGCTAGTCTTTTGTCCAATAATATCTTACTAGTACCTTGAAACCATTAAGCTTTAGAAAACATTTTCTCATCACGGTCCTAACAGTACTGCGAGTGAGATGCTGCTAAGGATTTATAAATCCGGCAGTTTATTTGAATGTACATATTTTTGACACTTACGTTTATCTGTATTTCGCAGACATCTGTGAACCTGGCTGGAACTATTTCAACGGCTTTTGCTATTTCACAAGTAAGACTTGTCAAAATTGGACCATAGCACTGGATAAATGCCGACAAGAAAACTCGGTTCTTGTTGATGTCCAAAATAACGAAGAAAATGTGTTTTTACAGCATCTACACAATGGAGCAAAATCCTGGCTGGGATTGAATGATATTTTTACTGAGGGCTCCTTTACTTGGGCAGATCGTGGTATTGGGAACTTTACAGCTTGGGCTAAAAACCAACCGAACAATTTTCGGGATGAAGACTGTGTGCATACGCTTGGTGTTGAATATAAATATGAATGGAATGACGTGAAATGCAGTGACTGTCATCAGTTTACTTGTAAGAAAGGTAAGATGTGATGTATAAGTTTAGGAATGCATAAGATAGAAGAAAGTCTACTTAACAAAAAGCATTTTAGTGTGTTAATCGTGATAAATATATAGTTTTTTTTTTTTCATCTTCAACAGATCTCAATGAATGCAGTAGGGACAAGTATTACTGCCATCAGGTCGCCAGCTGCACAAATTATCGTGGTTCATTTAATTGCTCTTGTGATCAAGGCTACTTTGGAGGCGGCTTTGAGTGCGAGCTTATCAATTACGCAAGTATGATCAGATATAAAATTGCAGCACTACGTGTTAATGGTTAACAGCAAGTTGATTTGTAGTAATCCTGCTAGTGTTAGTGCTAGTATCACGCTCTTTTATTGCGGAGCCGTTCTAATGTTTTCAATGGCCATCATTCAGTAGCTTCTACTGCTTACATGCAATGTCTATATTTTGGAGTGTCTTTTTATGATTTCCCATACTCCCATTCTAAACGACACGCTTTGTGGGCGAAAGAGAGAACGGGCGCGCGATTAAGGGAGACACGCTCGCACGCCCGTTTTTTCTTGTGCCCACTACTTCCAAGCGCCTGCAATGCAGGCTACAAATTCAGCCTTATCATTACCCCTAGTTTTAGACTCTTGTTGTGAGGTAGGTCATTCGAAATTGACAATTTTGCCTCGCAAGGTAAGAATCCGATTCGCATTGAAAAAGAGTTTTTTAAATTTCCGGGTCCGTTCGAGGCCACCAACTCAGGGTCTTTAAATCACTGACTGAGAGGATAAATGGTTTCCTTTGAAAAGACGTCTGCAAATGGTTAAACTTTTTAGTCTTCTCAGACAAGGACGATAAACCGTAGGCCCCGTCTCCTAACCGTTTAAAACAACTCATGCTCTGTTCGTAAAGAGTAGGGGACGCATGTCTATCTCCCATGGTGGGCGGGACTGTTATGTGTCCTCGGTAATAATCGCCGCGCGCTGTTGCGGTGACCCTGCCAAGAATTGGTGAACCTAAGTAAATAAATTGGTGATAACTTTGTCTCTAACTTTTGTAGGGGGTTTGAAACAGTCTACTATCGTGGGGAATGATGCTAACTACTTGCAATATTTAAGCACCTGGCTCAAACCAGTTGCTCAGAGCAAATCTTCACGATGGAAGCGTTGATGGCGGGCGTCCGTGGACGGCTGGGCTTCTAGTACTTTTCATAGCCGTTGTGACAACAAAGGACCAACTGTAACAATCATAAGAGTCGGCGGCAAATACATATTTGGAGGCTACACCAGCCTCTCATGGGGTAAGTGGTTTGGTTTTTCTAAAACTGGACATTATTAGCATGCAAAATTGTCTCAGGAAGTATTTGAAGTAGAAAATGTTATTACCACAAAGAGGACTAAAAAGGGCATTCACACAACTTTATCGCCCTTATTCCATTTCGGCCAATTCGCCAAATGGAGGTGAATTATTCTGGGTTTAAATTCGAAACGTCTCTACCAAAAATTAAAAAAAGAAAATCGTTGTCTTGTGTTCACGTACCCATAAAACTAAAATTGAGACGTTTTAAGTCGTATTCGTGCTGCGAATTCGCTGACAATATTAAATTCTGTGCGGACGTATTTTCTTTTCAGAGTTGTTCAGCAAAGTATTCCGCTCAAGTGCCGTTGTAGTTTAAAAAATCAGTTAAAATGACTCGTAGAACGCGACTGTGAATTGATCTTATTAAGCTCCTAAGGCTCCCTTTCCGGCTCTTAAAACTAAAATGAAAACTGTATGTAAAAAGTGCAAGTTAGATGGGGGAAAATTACCACTTAGTAATCAAGTCTTTTTCTGTTGTAGTTTACACAAAAAAATAAGCTGAGAGAGCATTTTGATCAAAGCTACGTATACTGATATCAACCTGAATAATTGCATGGAATCTTACGTTTCCTGTTTTCACCTCACCTATTGTAAGACGCACAGTCACTTCATTTTATTTTAGCGCACAGACAGTCCAGTCGATGCCCAGGCACTACCAAGATTTTAAATGTTCTTTTTTCGACTATTTTATGCCTTAAATGCTGTAGTCAGTTACTTAAAGGAGATTGATGTAAATTCATGTTATATCTTTTCAATACATTTTGTATCTTTTTCTTTTAGAATCTTATCGTATCTTTTTCGAGTTTTTATTGTAGTTGTATATTGTAAGTAATTTTATCCTTTTTCATTTTGGTTCTATATCGTAATCATTTTTAAAGGGCCCTTTAAGAATTGAGCTGTAACTCTTTATGATGATGATGATGATGATGATGATGATGATGATGATGATGATGATGATGATAATGATAATGGCTTATTAGTGAAAAGCTTCAGTATGAATCGGTGTATTCAAAAAAGAAACACAGACTGAGATACAATTAACCAACAGTGGAACCTCGGCATAACGAAGGATCAAGAGACCAACAGATTTGTTTGCTATATAACGAGGTTTCGTTTTATCGAGATTCTTTTCCATATATTTTACTATAACTTGGGTAAAGAAAGTGGTTAGTTACATCAAGGAATTCGTCATACAGAGGTTCGTTATATCGAGGCTCCACTCGGCTGTAGTGAACAACAACTGAAAAATTCAAGCCTTTGTATCGGGGTGCCGACAATTGAATTTTATTCTGCAATTTATCTCTCTTTTCAATATTTTTTGCGTTTAGCTTTTCAAATAAGTACCACTTTATTCCTTCAAAAGTGAATACTCAAGTAAGAATAAACTTAGTATTAAAAACACACTTTTCACGAGACTGATATCTTTGCTACATAAAAGGGAGTTAACTATTACTAGTAGTATCCAGTATATTTTCTTGTCTCATTATAAATTTGAATTTTTTACGAAGTCTGTGCATCGGATCATCCTTTTCATTTCTTATTTTCCCAACAGCTTGCTACGGGTGGCGATATGATTCCCAGGCATTTCTTTTCTCGCTGGTTAACAAGCCAGGTTGGGCGCCTGTGAAACTGCCTCAGACAGGGCAGTATAGTTATAGCAGAGATTCCATATACGACGGCTCGTCTTATGGACCTACTTTCGGAGGAGGCCTTGACATTTACATTGTCAACTACGCGTCATCCAGTAGCAGTTCCTATACCAACCTTGGCTATACTTACAGCCCACCAAGTGGGTACAGCTATGGAAGCACCTTCACTCAGACATTTCTGGCAGGCACTTATTCGTTTACTCCAGACGAAGTAGAAACATTTTACGAAACAACCTAAAAACTGTGGCATCGTATTCAGCTTCAATCTTGACGTCAATAACTGTTACACTGATTAAGCCAGGACGGATTCTTTTTTCATAAGCCAGGCAATAAATAAAGTAATATATTTCAATTTGACAATTTAATATTGAGCCCTGTAAGTTACAGTACAAAACTTGAAATACCTTAGTTGATATATACTGATTTTTAAAACAAAAAAATTAATTCTTGGATTTATTTCTTCTTACCATTTCTCCTCGTCTAATTTGCAAAATATAAACCCGTTATGTTTTTTTAAAACATGCTGTTTAGTAATATTTGGAATATTATGCTTGCGTTATTTTGTACCTTTCGTTTTATGTTTTACGTAGTTTTCTTAATCAAGATAGACTATTAAATGACTTGAGATTCACACAGTAACCACACTGGTGCGAGCACTAAGTCAAAATGATGGTGTCCCTTTAGTCGTCTGTACACTTATGTCCAGGTCTGAACACAGCTGCAAAAGTTGCGATTTTTCGCAAAAAAATCACAAGTCTGACGATTTTTCTCATTACTTGCGTATTTTCGTAGTTCTTTGTCATTTTAATGATCACCAAAGTCCAAAGACACTAGCGGATTTTACAAAATTTGCGAACAAGTCTGACGATTTTTCGCGTCACTTGCGATTTTCTGGCAGTTCAGTTTCTCATGTTAATAATCACTTAAGTCCAAAGCCGGTTGCTGATTTTACCAAATTTACCAAAGAAGCAAAAAATCGCCAGTCAGACGATTTTCTTGCCATTTTGGCAATTCCTTGTCACCGCAACCAAGGCATACCTAAACGCAAGTCGACGAAGCTCTTTAAATAATGGTTATGTTATCTAGAGGTTCGTTAAATTCGTGAGGTTCCATTGTATTTCAAGTTTCATGCTAGCCCGTTTTACTCAACTCAGGGGAAAGAAAAGGTTTGACGATGAATTTTGATAGATTAAAGCACCCTCTTTTTGGCTAGGTAGTAGGTCGTTTCGAATTGTGGTATACGTCTTGAGTTACAGCTATGTTTTTAAAAGTCGACAAAAGGGAAAATAAATTTAACATGAAAGCGAGGCTGAAAGTGAATGGAGCTGCTGGTAGGACATTAAAGGAAGATATATAATAGCCACCTTTCAAGCCAAATTTTTCACGATATCACTGAAACTAGGTGGGATCGATATTTGACAATTATTCCATGAGCACGCGTTGGATATGAGTTGGCTATAACTATCTCATATCCAACAAGCGCGAATGGAATAATTATTTTATTAATTTTTGTTTTAAACTCCAAATGTCTGGTTATTACAACAGAATTTTAGTAAATTTTGATTTAAATATTTCAAAACGACCGGATATTAATGTAACTTCCAGTAAACCAAGGGAAAATCACGTGACATGTGCGCCGTTTGCGAACTTGATTGAATGAAAAATCTCAAAGGGAAGGACGCTGTACTTAAATTATTCTCGAAAAGTACTGTTTTCGTTTTCCCTCGCTGTGACTGTGGAATTTGACGCTAGATAGGTCGACCTGATTGCTCTTCAAATTCGTTTTCTTCCTCCACGGAATCGGAGCTGCACAAAGACCCAGCTTCATTTATCAATTTTTTGTTGTTGTTGTTGTTCAATGGAAAGCCGCTCGTTGTAGGATTCACAAGTATTAAGAGGTGTAAAAGCTCTTCAAACACGCAAAAAAGCCTGCTAATGGTTTTAAAACCTTACTCCTGCGTGGACTTGCAAGCCGTTCTGAAAATATTTAGGGTAAACTTTGTTGTTGTTGTTACATAATCAGCTCGCCGTACGGAAGAATTAAGCTTATAAGTTCTTTAAATTTGTAAGGAAACTCCGGAGTACCATTAAATAATTTCAAACCAAAGTTTGTGGCCTTTCGGTCGCTGCCGGTATGGCATTTTCTGTTTTTTTTTTTTTTTCTGTTGTTTCGTCAGTACTTTTTTCCGCCGCTTTGTGCGAGAGAAATTTTGTTGTTTTCAATATACGGTCAAACTACGGTATATGAGCTGATAACCGAGATTGAGTGAACCAATCAGAATGCTAGAAATGCATTATCCAATTTCTTACACTACATTTTTATCTTAGAGATCGCCTCTGAGCACAACATATATATTTTTTGTAAGAAAGAAAAAAGAAAAAACAAATGCTCCTCCTGCGTGTCATTTGACACATTCATCTTCCCCCATGCAGAGGCAGCTGGCCTAATTGACTGCTAACGCTGCGTCTTTGCAAGAGCAATTGGCTCGACACTCAGATTTATTGCATTACCAACTGGTAAGTTCAGCCCCTAGGACATCAGAACGGTTAGAAGATAATCTTCCTGTGCCATTTCCATCCATGGCCGACAGGTGATGGTAATCTTGAGAAGTTTCTACGGTTCCAAGGCTTAATGTGGTGAAGGCGACTATCTGACGTTTGCGGAAGAGATTCGCTTTTGCGTTTTGGTGGCAAAACGAGGTTTGGCGCAGCTCATAGCTGTAAGTAAAAACAACCTTCTTTAGACTGATATACGCTGTTGATAAAGGCTCCTGTTTCATTTGCAGTCCTGCTGACTCGGACCTATCCGTGGGTCTCAATGGGGTTAACTGACAGCCGTCAAACCGCGTAAAATTTAACCGTCAGCCATCGAAAAGAGTTATTTTTTAACGTCAACCGTCAAAAATTAGATTAATATTAACTATCAAAAAGTTTCAATGTACAGAAGAACCCCGATAACTCGAACTTAGCTCGAATATCGCCAAGTCCCCGCTAACTAGCTAGAGCTAAGTTCCATTTTCTTTGGATTTCACCTCACTTTTCAATCATTTTTTTTCTCGGTTAGCTTGAAATCGGAACACTTGCATTCCTCCCTAAATTAAACTAAAATTCTTCTCCCTTGATCAAAAATTTCACTAACATTTATTCAAATAACTCAATTCTGGTTCTTGTAACTCCATTCGGAAGGCGCAACCCATTAGCTTTTGTTTCGCTAGCTACAATCCACTGCGTTCAGTACCGTTCTCAAAGATGCATTACAGCGCCTTCGAAACCTAAAGTAGAATTAAAGTGCAAATATCACTACGAGAACGCATAAATAAAATATAATACAATGGACGTCAGATCAATATTCCTCGATAGGTACCCGGTAGCATGTGTCCAGCAGCCGCGAATGTTCGATCCATTGAGTCCTCTCAAATTCACTCTTGTAATCCACTCTCCACTCTTTTCCACAACGAATCAACTCTTGCAAGTTACAACTCATATCTTTGAATTAATCACAATTTCGCTTTACTGAAGGGTACGATTAATGAATACTAAATATTAAGAGCTTCAACGAGCACGTGCACATGGAATATCACGAACTTTCGCACGTATCAGCGAAACAATCCTCCCACAAAACCCTTGGGGAAGCTTATGTCGTCGCAGTCTTATACTTGCTCTCTCTTCTGCGCTCGGAGAACAGATATTCCTACTTACTGCTCACTGCGATATTCCCTCGGTGTCGTTCACTGGAACTAACACGATTAATTCGTGCACAGCTCTCTGTGTGGTGACGTAGCCCCTGCCTTCGTACTTGTCGACGGGTTCACCTGGTCTGGGGTTCTTATATTCCACGTCCACTTTCCTTACTCTGGCATCATCTCTAGGGTAAACCTTGGACACTTTACCGAGATTCCAGTTACCTCGCACCTGATTTGAATCTTGGATCAGTACTACAAACACCTACCTTCACGTTGCGCTTATTTGTGTGCCACTTCTGCGGTACAATCAGACTTGGTAAGAAATCTCTAATCCACTTTCTCCAGAAAGCGTCTACAATCTGCTGAAAGAACTCAAAGCTGTGATTTGGGTTTCTTGTCTCTCTAAAGGGGCCACTAGGGACACTTAAGGTGGATCAGCCTAAAAGGAGGTCGTTAGGGCACAGGTAAGTCCCGTCTTCGGGTGACGTTGGATGCCTACCAACTGGCCTTTTGTTAACCAGGTTTGCTGCCTCATAGCAGACTGTTTGCAACTCAGAGAAGGTCATCACACTTTCACCGACCACTACCGTAATTGCCTTCTTCACAGACTTCACAATGCAAGAGCCTCTGAGGTCCCGTTCTGCCAAGGCGCGTGGGCCGGAAGAAATTTCCATTCCA